GAGTTGGTTGCAGTTTCTGCCCACGTTCTTCACGTTTCTAGATTAAAGTTTTCAGACCCGGTGCTTCATTGGAGAGTAATCCTTAATTTTCCAACTCCCTTCCACCATCTGCCCCAACCTCTCCTCATGTCTCCACTGGTTCGCAGAACTGAACACGATCCCTAAAGTCAAGGAGGGTAATAGCTAGGAAACATTCTCGCATGAGCGTGGATAACGTACAAGGAAATGATTTGCTTGCGCATGAGGTAAAAATAAGAAGTCAGTCACAACTATGGAAGAAAAGTGGCATAATTTAAAATATTATCATTGAGATAGATAATTAAACATATTTATTACTTTATTTCTTGACTTTCGTCGTTATAATCTAGAAAAAAGTTTTGGCTCCATCAAGCTTTCAACTCCGGATGGTTCCTTTCGGCAACGTGAATTTGGGGAGGGTATATTTGAATTTGAGGGTTAAATTCCATATTCACCTTTTTTTTTTTTACCAAACGGTAAATCCATAGATAGAATTTTTTTAAATTGTAGTGGTTGATGAATTAAATTTATATATATATTAATATAAAATTTTTATTTTGATATTATTGATATTTGAATGTATTTTATGAGATTTTACTTAATTTTATATAATTTTTATTTTTTGTGTAGGAAAGAACTTACTGAAAAGAAATCATAATTTTTATAAAGTAAATTGTAGAGATCAGAAAAATGGGGATTAACTTGCACAGAATCCAGAAACTAGGGACCAGGACTGCTATTTTGCCATCAACCAAAATCGCTTATAATACCAAAAAGCTGACAGGGAGAGGTTTACTAAAGGTGGCAGCACCTTACTGAGGCTGTTGATCTTTTATGCGATTTTTAACAAGTCTACGCCTGTTTTTATTATTTTGGTGTGGGTTTTACGTCTATTTTAATTAAATTTTTTTAAAATTCTATAAATATTTATTAAAAAAGTTTTTTTGAGACTAATGGCAACCTTCTCGGTACTTTTGGATATCAAAATAGAGTTTTATCAACAATACAAGGTCAAAGATTTTAACTTTTTTTTTTTGCTTTTTCTTAAATTATTTTTATTTATTATTTGATATTTTTATATTTATAACTATAATTTTAAATTTTATTACTTTTATTATGAACTAATTTATTATATTAGTGGTATGATGCAATCTAATCAATTTGTTATAAATTTTATGATTTTCGTACTTTTAATTAAAATTATTTACATGATGAGTTTATATTGTTATATTTAATGTTTTAAAAGATTGATCACCTTTTGATTGATTATGTGATTTATGAATGAATTTGAGAAAAAAATTGTATAAGTTAGACCAATAACAATATAAACCATGGGTTAAATTATAAGATTGAAAGGTAATTAGCGTTACATGTGGTAATAAAGAAAGAAAAAAGAGTTGAGAGCACTTCCTTCTTAAGTTAGAGGTTTCTACATTAATTAATACTTGCTAATTCGTTTTAAATTATATATAAATATCACTAATTTAACAAACAAGTGAAAAATTAATTTAATTTGAGAAAGTTAGTTAATTAATTTAAGAAAATATGTCATCATATGTAATAACATTCAACAAATTAGTTTTGAAAGTATATTAATCAAGAATTTATATTAATTAGTTATGGTGAAATCGATGTTTTAGTATCTCATATATATTTTGATTAATATTATTTTAATTGTTATTTTTTTTATTACTTTTAATTAAAGTTTCTT